AAGTTTATTACACAATATCGAGTCATCCAACTGAAAAAGTCAAAAGTGAATTAGAAAAGTCCAACAACCACAAANTTTCAATAAGAAGAACCCGCGGGTACATCATCACGTTATATACATGTTGCGAAACAATCATTTTCCTCCAATTATTNTTAGGAAAATAATCCAAATACCAGAAGACCAAGAAAGTCTAAAATCACAAACTCTTTTACATACTCCTCCGATTGCTAAATATCCTTAATAATGTCCATTTCACCTTAATCATCATCCTGGCCTCCTACTNGGATTCTTGCAGCTTCACCGAGAAGATCTTCGACCATACAATTTATGGTCTTTATTGTAATCCCACGAATGTACCAAGAAAGTGGTGGTTGAGTAAGAAGAGCAGATCCATTGTGGTCTTGAGGCTTTGTGCATCAATTATTTTGGCCGAGCATCATACATCTGCGCACTATNGATTGTATACTTGCGTATATCGATGCTNAGAACTGTTATTTGCTNACCTANATNTCTTCTGCTTATCAAATATTAATTAAATCCAGCAAAACCAAAATTTATTGACAATTTGAACCCACAAATTTCAAAGAAAAATATATTGTAGAAAAATGGAAACAGAGAAAGTTAGAAGTCTCTTTTTATATGAAGTTTTGGGAGTTGCATAGTTAAGGAGAAATAATATTAAATGAATAAAAAAAGAACATATACCTAGAAAAAACCAAAACTCACGTTTGCTAGAAGATTACATGAATAAGAAGAGGATATTATCTCATTAATGATACTCACATCGTTTTTTCTTTTATCATCAATTCCTGCCATTGGGTAAGGGTTAGGGATAGGATGTGTGAATACTCGTATTAGTTATTATGATATTTCTATACGTGAAGCTGTCAAATCGGATAAGAAAATTGAAAATATCACAACGGATCTAATAAAGAGATGAAGAATTGAGGCAGAAAAACTTTACCATATTGACAGTGCATGATTCCAAGACATAGACGCAAACATAGGTTAAGAAAGAGTATCTCGGAGACTATTTTGACATAAGTAACAAAGAAACATACATTTATACTTATAGAGCAGTAAATGTGATTATATAAGTTCATACCTCAAACCCTCAGAGGAATTTTCTGACAGCATCTGCTAACTTGAAACCACTTATTCCCGGCTTCTCCAGGTTTATGTAACAGCAATAACATGTTCGATAAAATTTTACGTTTGCTTTACTCGTCGATAAGTCAAGTAGCATCATAAAATAACAGTAATTAGATTTACAATTAAAAGACTTACACTATGGAAGAAAACGAAAACGATATGCAAAGTGAATTGCATTTGATACACATGAAAATCAAAAACAATTAATCATATATAAGTACGTCATTAGCAATTGGGAATTTACTTGTTCTCCATCCCAAATAAGTATTTCTCATGTAAATACTATAAGAAACACAAACACGACAAATAGAAATCAAAAAAGAGAACAAAAATCAGTAATTAAATATTCACATAATTAAATTACATTTAAATACAAATTATCAAAAGCTTAAGAATATATAATCTTTACGCACCTGAGATCACGATGTAGTTGCAATATAAAATGCAAAAGAACAACAGAAACATTAGACCATTACAATATATCATTAGCAAAATATCACGAAATCATTGTTAACGTCGAGAAGACACGAACATAATATGGGAAACACTAAATTAGTAAATAATGTATAGAAGATATTACCACAGCCAAAGAACGAATTCCTTTGGACCGACGAAACACACATATATATAAAAAAATTCTAGGGTTTCGCCTACACAATAAATCCTAATCGAATAAATTAAATATAGAATATTGTCTATAAACAATAAAATAACAATGGAAGATTACCATAAATCTAATCTAGACTCTTAAGCGAATAATTTAAATATATAATATGCATATATACAATAAGATAATAATGAAAGATTACCATTAATCTACATAGTATAGAAAAATTTTATATATATAAACGAATAATATATATGGGCAAAACGATTATTATATATTAAACAAACAAAAAAGAGCTCAAATAATTATCTATACTATGGGCCAAACGATTATCTATACTAAGCCCAAACCCCAGTTTCATAAACCCAATTAACATAATCCGTAACCAAATTAACATAAATCAAACGATCGGAATAAGGATATTTAATAAAGTTAACAAATATCGATGGCAAAGGATGAAATTAAAGAGTTTTATTAAGGGTAACTCTGTAATCAACCACCCTCAAATTCATTCTGAGGGCGCCACGTAGGATTTCGCACTTCATATATAATTATATAGATATGTGCACATCAACACTGATTTTTGTTTAGCTTATAGTTTTCCTCTTATATGATAAGTCTATGTAAAGAGATATTAGATATATATGGCAGGTGATCGAATTTTAGCAAGATTCAATCTAAAACATATGTATAAAGGACTAATGTGTATTTAGCTATTTGCTTTTGGTTCGATTATTTCGTTTTCTTTTGTTTATCGGTTTGAAAACTCAAATACTAAGTTTTTTTTTTTGAATCTAGTTCGGTTTTAGATAATAAACAGAAAATAGCAACTTATAAATATACATAATTTACTTTTAATAATTTTTTAATAATTTTATTTAAGTATACCTATTATAAGTATAATTATGATGAATGATACGAAATTTGAACAACTATTATAAGCTTGGGTTTGATTTTTTCGGTTTGTAGACATTTTTTCTTTGTTTGTTTCGGTTTGAGTTCGATTTTGTTAGGTTTGTATGTCCTCCGTTAGATGTGTTCGTACGAAATGGACTTTGAGGTCTTCTACTAAAACTTTAAAAGGCCATTCACAAGCTCTACGCTAATCCTAAATCATTAATTACTTTCCGGAATTTTGGGAATACTGTAAAGTAGATACATGATGGGAAAAATTATCCAAAAACCCTAACTGTATTTTGAATTCAACTCTTTTTCTGCTCTATATATATCTTCTACTATGAGTCCATAATTAGCTTAGACTCTCCTTAGGGCAAATAAATCTTCATAAAATAATTTGTTACAAAATTAATCTTGCTTATGGGAAACAATGGTTGCTGAAATCAGAATAGATATCCCTGCTCAGAAAAAGACTTGCAGTATATGTTTTGATGATAATATCCAAATATTTTATATGATTTTATGCGGTCATTGGTTTTGTGTGGAGTGCACGAAACGACATATAGAAACGAAGCTACTAGAACGACGTGTACCGAGATGTCCCCATTATGGTTGCAAATCGAACATAACTATGAGAATTTGTGCCCATCTTTTGACACCTAAACTAAGTACGATATGGCTACAAAAGATCAAAGAGGAATCAATCCCTGTAAAGGAGAGAGTTTATTGTCCGAACCCGAGTTGTTCGACTTTAATGTCGAAAACCTTATTGTAACTTTCTTTTAATTTTTTTTTGCCTTGGTTGCTCTATCTTCAGGTTAAACTCTTTTGTAAAACCTAAACTTTTCATTTCTAATGATATTTATCTTTTAACAAAAAAAAAAAATGTCGAAAACCGAGATCTCTAAATTTTCTTTTACTATAAAAGCTAGATCTATGAGATGTTGCTTCGATTGCGGTGAATCTTTTTGCATAAACTGCAAAGTTCCTTGGCATAGTAACTTGTCATGCAAGGATTACAAAAGGTTGGGTCCAAATCCTACAGAAAATGATATGATGTTAAAAGTTCTAGCAAATCAGAAGTTGTGGCGACAATGTGAAAAATGCCAACACGTGGTCGAACTAGTGGAAGGGTGCGACAATGTAACTTGCAGGTATATAATCAGATCTCTAACCAAATATTCTCTATCATCCTTTCACTTTTTACCACCATTATTTTTTCTTCATGTGCGTGTGAATTTGATTATCTTTTATGTTTTTGTCACGCAAAGTTGAATTTTCAATGGTTGTATGAGTTTTGCCACTATTGCGGAGCCCAATGGATTAAAGGAAGTGTTTGCGCTCATTGGAGGATGTTTCGGATACCGAAGGACTTGATACTTTGTTTTCTCTTCTCGATTTATATAATCACTATTTTTTTTAATGTAAAACTTTTTTAGACATAATTAAATTTATGACCATAAAATACTACTATTTATATAAGAATTTTCTTTTGTTGGAAATTTAAAAACTCTTAATTAGTTCGATAAATCTCTAATAGGATCTACTTCTACTTCCAACTAATTTCGAAGTAGTAATGGGAGAAAATGATGCTAAGCTGAAATGGGCCTTGAAATCTATTCCTAATTAGGCCCATTACAAGCCTATTTCCAACTTCACAGAGGATTTGAGTTACTTCAGTAGAACGTACCTCACTCAAAATCCCCTGCATCTCTATATCGTTCGTTTAGATCATCTATCGAGTTTTCGTCTTCAAGATTAGCTTTTTTAGGCGATCCACGCATCTTCACGAGTTTTCTCGGGTTTCGGCAATCCTTCAATACATCAGACATTGCTTCTGCTCTATGTAATATAGACTTCCTTCTCGCTCTATCAGGCGGTGCATCTACCGCTTCTCTGTATGTATTTGGTAGCTTCTTCGAGTGAGGAAGAGACGACATTAAACTCGATAGTCTCTTCGCCATCTCGGTCATCCCTTTCGATCTCAACCCGTTATCGATCATCTTGAATGTGATGTACTGTGGAATGATCCCTCGTCTCACAGTGTTCTCAAACTCTTCGAATGCTTTTTGGAACATGTCGAGTCTACAGAGCAAATGAATCAGCATCGTGCTTGTTAATAAGTCGGGATCGATTCCTCTGTTTTTCATCTCTTTGTTCACTTGCATCGCCAAGCTTAGCTTCCCATCCTCGCACAGCATTTTCAAGATCAAATGGTATGTAAACCGATCTGGACTATGTCCAGCTTCAATCAGCTTAAAGTACAAGTTCATGACTTCTTCGGTTTTGTTATGCTTTGAGAAATACTTGAAGAAATGGTTGTATGTAGTCAAGGTAGGATCAACGCCTCGATTCATCATCATCTTGAGTATCTTGCTAGCACCAGATAAATCTCCAGCCTTGCAGAAATTCTTCACAAGTGAATTATAAGTCACTATGGTAGGACCCGATACGCAAACGAAGAACCTTTCCATCATTCCTAGCGCTTCTTCTAACCGACCCGCTTCTCCTAAACCGTCGATTATGGGATTAAAGACCATAAAATTGAGCTCCATTTCTGCCATCTTCATCTCTTCAAGAACCTCCATAGCAATGTCAACACGACGCATCCTACAATACCCTTCTATGATAGTACCGTAAGTGACAACAGTCGGTTTCACATTCATCGCTTTCATTTCCGCCCATAGGTTCTCTGCCTGCTTCAGTTTTCTTGAACGGAACCATCCATTCAGTAAAATGTTGAAAACCCGAACCGAAGGCACCCAATTTGAATCCATACTTCGTCTTCTCTCCAAATACATTGAAGCTTCTCTAACATGTCCTTCTTTACAAAGAGCATCTAACAATACCTCAAGCAACTTAACTTCCGAAGCTGATTTCGAAACCGGTTCATAACTTTTAGTGAATTCAAAAGCCCGTATCGCTTGTTGCACCATACCTACAAGCAAATTTGCAATACCAAATCAATACCAAATCTATATCAGAGATTCTATGCTTCCATTACTAAGCTAGCTCAAATTGATTATCACTTTCCATTATTGAATCTACAAGAAATCTGCATACCAGCACGAGCATACCGTCTGATCAAAACAACAAACGTATCAGCAGAAACCAAATCCGATCCTCCATCACTTCTCACACGATCAAAAACCAAAGACCAAGCAATCTCAAATTCACGAGCTTTACACAAAGCATTGATAACAGAATCAAACAGCGAAGAGGAAAGTGTAAACCCAGGTTTCGTCTCCGCCCATTTGAACACCGAGTGGAGCAACATCGGCGATGAACTTAACCGATCGAATAGCGTCTGAACCAACTCAATGCTCGGTTCGATTCCGGTTTCGTCCAGAGCGGTCACGAGACTCGAACCGGGTCTAACATTAGGTTTTTCGAGAAGATTCGATATAGTGGAGAGATCAGGGACGGTGATTTGATGCGTCGGAGTATATGTGGAATCGGGTGCGGCGGGTGATTGTAACCATTGGATTAGAGGCTCGACAGGAATAGGCGGCGATGAACGGCGAGATGATAAGAATTTGTGAAGAAGGAAGTGGTGGTGAGGATTAGGGTTTAAGGGGAGGATACGGCGGATGGAGATGAACAGAGAGTTCATTTTTCGCCGGCGATATTAAAATTAAAAGTTGCCGACGAGAAAAATAATATAACCGGCGCGTGGTCGCACGCGCCATCTGGGCTTTTCGTTCGTTACTGAAAATATCTAGAGAAATTGGGTTGATAGCC